GAAAAAATCAAACCTTCTTTCCCCCTTATTTGAACACTTTTTATGATGTCATAATTTATATTGTCATATTTGATATCTTTTAAAGCGGGGAAGTCGTCATCTGTGCATGCAAACGGCAATAGCGTGTAGTTATTGACAAACAAGTGTCCACCCAGAAACCTTTGCATTTTTAGCCTGCGTTGTTAACGTCGATTGGGACTCAATTCTCGTGCATGTGTAGGTGACAATCCCTCTGCCTTAATCCAAATGTCAATAATTTATGTCACAATTTATTATTTATACAAAACTTGTGTGACTGGTGCTTTAAGCGACAGGAAGAATGAAATTTTTCTTTTTCAGTAGATGGTTCAACTTTTGATTTGTTAGCTATGGCATTTAATCTCTATAGCAACGAATGAACAACCTTAGGTGTAGCATATGATTATTTGTTTTTAAATCAAAACCACTTTTTTTTTTCAGCTATCTGGTGTTACAGTCAGTGTGAAAGACGACTTCATTCTTGTTCAGGTGCTTGAGGTAGGCGGTGTTCAGAGCATCAATGTTGGCACTGGCATCGTTAATGGCAATTGGTATAAACTGACACTCACCGTGGGTAACATTGATGCAAGATTGTTGACTGTCTCAGGTCAGTATATAACCAAGGGTAAATAAACCTCAAAGGGCACACAACTTTGGTTGTCTCATTGATATCAAAATATGACGTATCATTTGCATGAGCAAGCAAACAATAGTTAATGGCGATTGATGTATATATTCTATTGGTGTTTCTGTGTCTCAGTTTGTCCATAGTACAATGCTTCTAAATTTGAGCACCTCTTAATATAAAAAGTGAGATATGTTTGAGATAAAATTATTTTAGCCAGTCATGCTCATTCTCAGTCACATGATATGACATGGTAGTCACATGGTCAGCCTTGTCAGGCACATGGACATCAATGGACCATTACATGGTCAGCCATGCTCAATCACATGTCAGCCTTGTACGGGTGTTTGTTTATTCCACTTTTCCAATTCATTAACAATTTCTTTTCAGTTGGTACAGAGGACGACAATAGCTTATACTCACAGCCAACATTTTCCTCGCTGCCAATCCGACTAGAGATGCCTTTATTCATGGGTAAACTACATAATGACAACTCACTCTCCACTGTGCTAAGCATGGTGGAGACAGACACCAGGTAAGTTCACCAGATAATAATGTATTCATATGGTAAGTGTTACCATAATAATATTTGCCAATAAGGCAGGCACAAAGGGGGTAGTATTACAAAAACAAATTATACAGTTGTAAGATAATCCATTTTTCTATCATTTTACATTTAAAAAGTTTGATGGAGAACAAAATTATATTAAAACAATTAATCAACAACAAACATTTTACTGTTGCTTAGAAATTGGACCCATGCTGTTTTTTTTTTAATAATAATATTATTGAAAATTACAATTATTCTAAAGTTTTACTGAAAATAACACTATGGTTTTATAACTTTACATTATATTTACATCCTGATTGAAACAATTATAAAGTTTACCTTTGCTTTGGTTACAGTTTCACTGGATGTATCCGTGATGTCTACCTTGGTGACCAGTTATTAGATCTCCAGTTGGCTTCCACGTATACTAGCCAGGATCCGGTACAAGCTTCACCCGGGTGTCCCAGAGATGAACTTTGTTACACAAAGCCCTGTCAGAATGAAGCTGCATGTGTATCATTATGGGATGGATTTACATGTGTATGTAGTCCAGATTACACTGGGGATGACTGTTCAGAAGGTATGTGACTTGACCTTTGACCAAACTTGACCCGTGGGTCATATTTACACTGGCACTTTGAATGTGATGCCTGTCTGTCTTTGACCCTTAACCCCATCCCAACCCAACCAAATCTGACCCGACCCAACCTGACCCAACCCGACCCGACCCGACCCGACCTGACCTGACCTATGGCTCAAGCAAGGCTGCATGTACATAGTCATATATAAATGTACACTGGAAACTCAAGGGTCATTCCCATTTGGTCCCTCAACCCCCCCTCGATGAGCTTGAATTCCATTTCGTCATCTGAGTTTATTTATCTTCTCAAAGTCAGAAAACAAATGTAATGATAATTATCACATTTCTTTGTAGTCAAGGCAACCACATACAATGGTAATAACAGTACTATGCAGTTGAGAATTGACACCCAACTTGTCGGTTTTGGTGATGAATTCTCGTTAGATTTCCGCACACGTGACTATAGTGGACTGGTAATGAGAATTGATATTGTGTCAGACTCTCTGACTGGAACGATATCCTATATGTTGTTGAAAGTCGTAGATTTTATGCCTCAATTTGAAGTCTTCTTTGGACAAGGTATGTCAAATTTATTTCTATTGTAAACCATGCAGTGTGTGTCTGTGTAGTAGATGGCTGCGTTTTAAATTTATGCAAAAAATAATTTGTATTGGGGATATCAGGATATAGTTATGCACTTGTGGTACTCTCTTGTCGTTAACTTTTTATGACGTTTGTTCCAAAACTATTTGATATTAGGTAAAATAAGTGAGTTGCTGTTCAGTTGTCCAATTGGCAATTTGACTTGTGCTAGGCGGCAATGGAACTATATTCAGTGCCAGGCATTGAGTCCTAGATAATAATATGTAACAATTAATATTGCCAAATTTTTGACTATAAATGTGTGCAGCTATTCTTACTGTTTTGTGCATTGCATCATGGGAAATTTTGCTGTGAATGTTGGCCTTTAGATCTTTGAAGCTAGTTTGCATGTCTTGTTATCGTTAAAAACCAATTGTTTTAAAAAATAATAAATATATGTCACCCAGTGTGCATGTATGCATGCTTTATTTATCTATTTATTTTCCAAATGACATGAGCGAATGGCTTTTTATATTAGTTTTGAAATTGTAATTTAATTCATGATTTTTAATTTTAAAAAATACTAATAATAAACATTCTTTATTGAAAATAATGTTCATCGATATGCTCATTTTGATTTCACCATTTTTCAGAAATTCAAGTCATCGATATTCCTGTTACGGTTACCGATGGTAACTGGTATCACATAGAATGGACACGACAGCGCAGTGAAATAAGCGTAGATTTCCTTGACCTCAACTTCACAGTAGTAGGTAGTTACGATATGTATCAGCCACAGAGGAATGACATCATCGATGTCTATATCGGCGGTTACCCTGGAGGTGAGCTCATTTACATATTATGCTATATAATAGTAAAATTGTTTCTCTGTTATAAATATATTCAAACATATGTTGAATTTTATTGTTAGCCTTCAGTTTTAGAATATACTGAAATTTACTGCTTGTTTGCAATATGGCAATATATTCTCAGTTTTCTATGAAATTACACTACCGGTATATATCATACTTTATTATTTTTGTCCTCAATATCACCACCATACTGTAAAATACTTTATTTTAGCTGGAATTAAATTTCACTGAAAGGATTTTTGACAAGTTGAATGTAAAATATAGGAAAAAAGGTTATATTCACTGAATTTTATTTTCACTGAATCATTCCTTCAGCGAAAAATAACGAAAATTAATTCCAAGCGAAAATAAAGTACTGGGTATACTTATTTAGAGTATATTCGTGGGCAATACTGTAAATAACTAGTGCTAGTGCCAGAATTAATTATCAATATTGCTTTGAAACAATTGTGATGTGAATCCATATATTGTTAATATATTTCAAAATATTGACACATTTAGTGAGTTCCCAGAATGATCAGTTTTCCATTATATATAGTGGGAGGTCATCTCCCATAATTAG